TGTTGCTATGACAGCAACTCCGGGATGAGCTTCGAAGAACCAAATGATCCAAGATCATGCCAAATCATCAACAATCAAATCCAGCTAACTGAGTTAGCGACGTACAAAGAACGGGCCCCAGGCTGTTGTGTTGGACTGTGAAACTCAAAATGACAATTATGCCATGTTTTCCCTGCAGACCTTGATTTCCTCTTCTAACTCTGTTATTGTCATCACCTCTGGGCAGAAGTAGAGCATGTCTCGACCATCAAACAAATACAGAACTAAATCCTTTTGGGAAATCACATACCCCGTATGCCCTATAGGGGGTACTTAATCATTAAAGATCTAAATTCACGATAATAGTATAGTTAAAAAAAAATTGCACTCTGAATTAAGTTTGCGTTTTCAGGCCCCAAAACATTGTTGTAGTCTAAATGAAAGGCCAAAATGCATAAAAACGTTTTTTTTTTTATTTTTAGCTGAAAACGGTGATGTGTAAACGGCCCCGTAGTGATCTGGTTTTACAGTATTGAATGTGATAACTAGGGATGTGTGAGAGTAACCAACAAGTTGACTTTGCTGCTGCTAGTAGACATTGGAAATACTAGTCGACTAGTCAAAATGTAGTTTCTGCTTGTCCAAAAGCGCCACCTAATGTCAGGGAGTGAATTTGCATTTTCATTGAGGATGTCTCCTCGGTCAGCTCCATCAGTCAGTGTTGGGAAGGGTACTTTGGTAATGTAATAGGATACAGATTACAAGTTAACAATTTAAATTTAAAATTTAAATTGTTAAATTTAAAACAAGTTAAATCATAGGATATAGTTTAATAGCTATGATACTATTTTCAAAATCAAATATTTTCATAGCTATGGCACCAAACATTGGCATCTAAAAATACTTTGGAAAAAAAAAATCAGTTAATCTTAAAAATAAATAAACATAAAAAATAATAAACATATACCCGAATAGGAAATAAAACAGTTATTAAATAAGCATATGTCCTATTCTGAGTCTTAAACTACTGAAACATTGGTGTCTCATATTTTAGAGCAGTCGATGCAATTTGGGAAAGAAATCAACTAAATCTGTATGTGTGTGAAAATATTCAGATGTAACGCTCTTTGCAATCGTTAACATTTTTTATAACTGTAATTTTAGCACGCATTTTTTTCTCAGTAACTGTAACAGATTACAGTTACCTTTATTTTGCAATTAAATTACGTAATTCTGTTACAAGTAACTAGCTACTCCCCAACACTGCCATCATTGTTTGAAATTTTAACGGTTTGATGGAAAATAAGAACAACTCAAATAATAAGGTATCTGGAATTGTTTGACTGTTTGATTGATAGGATAAGTATTCCAGATGGATTGCACATACACAGTGTTTTTTGACTGCCTTCTGAGGGTTTCTTACTTTAGACTAGTCGATTGGTCGGTTACAAAATTGCTGTTAAAACGACTTTTAAATAAGTCGTTATGCACATCCCTAGTTCTAACACGTTGTAAACAGCGTCAAAGTGGCGTGAAGTGTGATTAGTTTTCACTGATTTCCTTCATTTCAAAGAACATTATGCCTTATTTCATTTGATTTTATTCTGAGTCTCTCTGTTTCCAGCCCCTACAGTAGACCCTGATGCTGACTTTTACTATGGTAAGGATGAGCAAATTTTTCTTGAATAATTCAGTTTTCTGTTTATGTGGACAAGAATAATCTGATTAACTATGAATACTGGAAAATGGTCATATTCTTAATATCCAGGATAAAATATTCCAAATTCTACAAGGCCCATTAAGACCAAGAGCTTGAACTATTTAATAATTAATTCATTAGAATAGCCAGGTCCACATCTGACACAGAAGAACGATATCACTTAAATCATTTTCAGAATGTTTTAATCAGAATTTTGCATCGTGTTTTCCTTAATCAGAATATCCTTATTCAGAAGTTGTTCTACCTCTGCTTCACAGACTATGAGACTCTGCGCATTGGAGGCCTGGTCTTTGCTGGGGTCATTGTGGTACTATCGGTCCTCCTCCTGACAGGTAAGTTTTAGCCTATCTGTGTGTGTGTGCGTACAGGTATATATGGTTTATGAGGACACAAATGTGTATAATGACATGGGTACTACAACGTAAACATGGTTTATGAGGACACTTCCTGTGTCCCGTGAAACAAAAGGTTTAAAAAACATACAAAACGGTGTTTTATGAAATTAAAAAATTGCCAGCAGTTTCCTGTGAGGGGTAGGTTTAGGTGTAGGGTTGGTGAAGGGCAATAGAAAATACAGTTTGTACAGTATAAAAACCATTACGCCTATGGAGAGTCCCCTGTAAACCACAAATACAAGTATGTATGTGTGTGTGTATGTGTGTGTGTGTGTCATATCAAATCACTGATGTGTAATGGATGTCTGGGCCTGTAGGTAACCGCATCAGACGATGTGGCAAGCGTAAGGTAAGCACCCTTAACTTACTGATGTGTTTCTGTTGACATCTAGTGGTCAGTGTTTAGTACAAATATTGTAATTTTAAACAAAGGAGTTGTCATTTTTTACTGCTAGATATATTCACTGGAGTAGGTTTACTTTGAAATTGACTGTAATATATATATATATATATATATATACACACACACTCTCACACTCTCACTCACACACAGGTTTGTTTTTGTGAAAAGTGGGGACATCCCATAGGCGTAATGGTTTTTATACTGTACAGACCGTATA